CGCGGCGCTGCCCGCACCCTGCGTGGGGGGGTGCACGGTGCTGGGGGGCATGGAGGGGTGGTGTCACGGGATGCTGTCACGGGCTGGTGTCACAGGACGGTGTCACGGTCCTGGGGAGCAGAGGCAACGACCCAGCGGGGACGGGGAGGTGAGCGGCAGGCGAGCCGCTTTGCCCCGTCACACAAAACCAGCGTGGCCGTGGTCCGGCGCGTGGCCGGAGGCAGTTTGAGGCACGCAGGGAGCCTCGCGGTGCACGTGTCAGCGCTGCAGAGGGAGGGGACTTTGGTGCCAAGAGGTGAGTCAGCTCTCTTAGAGAATTAATAACAGAAGGGGGAATCTCTGCAGATTTAGTCTTGCTAAACCATTTTTTGTTTCAGGTGAAACGGGTACAGGAATTAGTCGAGATGAGTATATTGCAAATGTTGCTAAGGATATAGAAAACAAAATACCTGAAGTATTCGATCTTGACCAGATACGGAAAGGTTTTGGACCAGAGATATCCCCGACGACTGTGGTGCTGTTGCAGGAACTGGAACGTTTTAATAAGCTGATCATTCGAATGGCAAAGTCACTGGCTGAACTGCAACGTGTAAGTAAGAACGCAGCTACCGCTGCTCACAGCAACGAGAGGAAATCCCTCGGGCTTTACCTGCCCCAGGCTGGCACTCAGACTCTCACCATCCTTCCAGGCCTTGGCCGGGGAAGTTGGAATGAGCAGTGAACTGGATGATGTGGCTCGGGCTCTCTTTAACGGACAGATTCCTGGAATCTGGCGGCAGCTGGCCCCCGATACACTCAAAACACTTGGAAACTGGATTATTTTCTTTAGAGCTCGGTATAACCAGTACAGCAGCTGGGTGAGTGCCTCCAGAAAGCTTTTTGTTTTGTTAATCTGCACGCTACGCTATGCACATTGGCGCAGAAGTCAGTGAAGGCACACTGTGTTAGACGAGTTACTTGAACTAAGGCCAGTCAGCGCTAGAATGGTAACGAACCATGGCATGACGATGGAGGCAAGGCAGACGAGCCACCGGCCAGTCTTTAAGAGCCTTGGCCTCTGGGCTGAGTACCAGGTGTGGTGGCAGGACCAGGTGCTGCAGCTTTGTCTTCTGTGATTGCAGGTTAACGAGCGTGAGCCAAAGGTGATGTGGCTCTCGGGCCTGCACATCCCAGAATCTTACCTGACGGCTCTTGTTCAAGCCACCTGCAGGAAAAACAAGTGGCCCCTGGATCACTCCACCCTCTACACCGAGGTGACCACGTACAGGACCGCAGAAGAGATCGATGAAGGGTCTACTCAAGGTAGGTGTTTTTATGATTATTTGGCAAAAATAATGTAGTTAATTGGCGTGAGAGAAATTGCCTGGCACAGCGAGTACATTACTCAGCCTGCACCTCCGCAGGCAGTACCCTCGGCCATGCGTTTCACAGTCCACATGATTTCAAGCTGGGAAGCAGCTGGCTTCTGGGTTCCGCTTTC